ATTGCTACTACCAGCTGACCTCGGACAGGTTTTTGAGCCAAAGGCTTTGATTGAGGACCCTAATCGTCTTCCTGTCTAGGTCTAAGCGCCCTGACAGTATCCCAATCCACATGCAACTCTGACTATTACGTATAACATAAACTTTAGCCTGCATCGGCCGTCACGCAGATTATCAAGGGTCGCCTTCTCCGCTGCATACAGCATGGTGGATAAGCGAAAACACGCTTCTGCTAATGCCCCCTTCATTCTTTTCTACCTGGTATTCCCATCTCGACCCCATTACTAGCCTTCCTTCTATAATTCCCAACTTGATTGAGAATAACCGAAGTGGCACTGAAGTCACAGCATCTGTAGCCAACCTCCCGAAGCACCCACTGGACGCCTGTCGGCAACCGTCCCTTATGAGGCCACGTTTTCCTGTTTCCATGGCGGCGTTCAACCTTCCCACTTTAGGAGGAATAGGGCAACGCTCTGCACTCACAAGCATCTTGGACACACTGGGTATTGATGTGCGTCCTGTGTACGAAAGTAGGCTCAATGACTCTAATAAGATTGTTGAAATAACTGCACCCTGCTTGTCCTCTCGTTATTGGTTGCACGGATCCGAAGACGCCGATGCAGCACTCACGGGTCAAGCTGGAGTAGGCATCATTCTAAGCTCCAAGGCTGAGCCATTGTTGGTCGATTGGATTCCGGTGAACAGCCGTTTATATGCAGTCCGTCTGACGACATCAGCTAAGGTGGAGCGACGAAGTAATAGAAAACGCTGTTTGTTCGTGATTTCCGCTTATGTTCCCACCGACTGCAGTTCTAATACTGTCAAGGACATTTTCTATCACGAACTGAATGCGCTACTACGCAGTGCTACTAGTTCAGATATTATAGTACTTGCAGGGGAAATGAACGCACAAGTAGGGCGTCTGAGCTCTTCAGTAGCTCAGCTGGGTGGTAATTATGGGCTTACCTCCGAATGGATTGACCACGGCGAGCGTCTGTTGCAACTGTGTGCGGAGCACCAGTTGTTTCTTGGTAGCACTGCTTTGAGACACAGTGGGCGCCGAAGTGCCATTTGGCGTCCTCCTGTAGCTGGCCAGCGATGGACCCAAATTGACCATATAGCCATAAGTTACAGGTGGCGTGGTGCCATCCTGGATTACCGCTCGTACTGGAATACCTACATGGAATCTTATCATGCCTTGGTACGCTGTCGTTTCTCCATGAACTTTACCGGGAGGTGCACCAAGCGTCCCCTCCGATAGGCAACTAATAAATTGTCTCAGCCCTCGGTCAGGCATGCCTATCAAGACGCATTACATACTGAACTGTCTTATTCTAATGACACCGAGCTTCAATGGAATGGGATCTCCTCCGCTTTGCACGACGTAGAAGCATCTGCTTGCGCCAATATCAATGGTCACCGAACCAGTCACTGGATATCCGAGAGGTCGGTGAACCTGTTGGAATCCAGAAGAAACCTCCCGTCTGGCTCTGACCATAATGTGACCATGCGGCTGTTAGGCGGGAACTAAAGCGGAGCCTACATGCTGACAAGGAAGCGTGGTGGACCAGTCGGGCTCAAGAACTGGAGGAGGCAGGAGCAGTAGGCAATTACCGCGAGCTCTTTCAGCTGATGCGAAACGCTGGTCCCAGGAAACCAGGTGTCAGTGAGACAGACAGCGCGGGTGCGCTGATACACAATATAGAGCGCCGTATGGCGCGTTGGGCGGAACACTTCCAAGATCAGTTCAGCTGGCCCCCTGCTCTCGGACCTCTTCTTACTCAGGTGATGCAGGACGAGCCATTAACGGTTAGTTCAGAGCTTCCGTCGGATGTCGAGGCCCGAAACGCGATCACAGCCCTCAATCGTTTTTATGCTGTTGGCCCGGATTCCCCCACCTGCACTATTTAAGGATGGAGGTAAAGTCCTCTGCAAAGCACTGACCTCCCTATTCGAACGTATCTGGAAGGAAGAAAATGTCCCGGCCAAGTGAAACGAATCGATTTTGGTAGCAATAGACAAGAAGGGCAGTCACATAAAATGTTCTAATCACAGGGGTATTAACCTAACGCCAGTTATGACAAAATTACTGACGTCGATTCTCGTTCGTCGCGTCACTTTGGAACGAGAACCTCGGATTAGGGATGAGCAGTCAGGTTTTCGCCCAGCACCGGGCTATAGAGACCATATATTCACACTACGGCAGGTGCTAGAGCAACACAACGTATACCGCAGGCTGACAATAGTTGTGTTCCTTGATTTCAAGGGTGCGTTCTATTCAGTCGATCAATCGATTCTGTTCGAAATACTTGCGCGGAAAAGTATTCCCACGAAATGTGTGAACATCCTACGTGCTCTCTACTCGAACGCTACAGACCGCGTTAGGATCTATCGGATGGTTTTCCAAACACAAGTGGCGTTCGTCAGGGTTGTCCAATTTCCCCGTTTTTGTTCAATTTCGTCCTTGATTCTATCATAGAGTGTTACCTTGCGGAATCTCACGATGTAGGCGTTGAAGTCCTGTCTGGTGAAAGATTAGTTGATCTTGATTGTGCGGACGATATTGTCCTACTTCTCAACGATGTTTCGGAGGCACAATCAACCCTGAATAGACTGTCTAGATTGGTCCTATTATTTGGCATTCACTTTGTGCCTTCAAAGTGCAATGTGTTGTTGCAGGAACACCAGGCAATCTATGACTCCTTGACCCTTGCTAACGAGGAGCTCGAGGTGGTTAATCAATTCACCAATCTTGGTAGCTGCATCAGTAACGACGAGCGCATAGAAACTGACGTCAGCTCACGCACTGCAAAGGCTAGAGCTGCCTTTTTGAACCAGCGGCACTTTTGGCGACAGAAGGGAGTTTCCCTTCGTCTGAAAGCTCGGGTATACAAGGCCACAGTGAGTGCCGTTCTGCTCTATGGTAGTGAGACTTGGCCCCTTCGGTCTGAAGACCTGAGGTGCCTTCAAGTCTTTGATCATCGTTGTCTGCGAAGCATTGCTGGAGTGGGATGGCACCAGCGTGTCCGCAACGATGATGTGCGTAGGCGATTACTAGGTAATGATAATCATGCTAGCTCCCTAGAACAACAGATAGCACTGAATATGTTGCGTTGGCTCGGGCACGTGCTACGTATGCCTAGTCACTGCTTACCTAGGAGGGCCTTAGTCTATCAGGTGTACGGTGGCGCAAGGTTCGAGGTGGACAGAAGTTGACTTGGCAGCGGGAAATGAGGTCAATGACGTCCGAACTGGGTGCTGTTGGTCCGTCTCGCCTTGTGTTTAGCTCGAGACTTTACAGGACATGGCTCGCATCCGACACCAGTAGCTCATCTGCTGCCGTCTGCTAACCGGATTGCCTGTTTAAAGTGTGTTTGGTGCTGAGTTATCCGCAGGGTAATGGCTGCCTATGGCACGGGGCAGTGAAGGCCGCAAGGAAGCTGTCTCGCCGATGCCGCCTTATCTTTGCACGATAGCCAGCTGTTTGTGATGGTATGTTGTCTACACAGTGTAGGCGCGTTGTCCCTGAATGTTTGCTTAGGGCATTAAGGTTTTCAGGTAAGTCCCCCTTCTCTCCTACTTATTATTCTTTATTCGACAGATCAGCATGGTTGTATGGCAGCGAAGTATCCGTTCAAATGGTAGATGTACTGCTCCTGTTGCTGCTGCTGTTGTTGTTGCTGCTGCTGCTGATAATGACGATGATACTGATGATGATGTTGTTGTTGTTGTAGCGGTTCTCTTAGCAATACCGTCTGCGTATTATGCGCATCCGTTGATATGACAATCTTCTTGACTCTGAAGCAATTTTCTGCAGTAATTTTCTGCATGTATGGAGTGGATTGCGTCTTGTTGCAGTGACACTGGATGATGAACGGACGTGTCCATCGTATACATGCAACTAGGATACCGTAGTGCATGTTTCATGCTCATCTTAGTACAGCTAAACACAACTAGACCAATGGAAGTTCCAGTACCAGGACGTGATGAATGTTGGTGTGAGGAGCAACTCGCATTCGATCGGCGCCCATACCGTAACTGAATCAAGCATGGGGCTTCTCAAATGAATCTTAAAATATTGTTGTATCAGGAAGAAAAGCGCTGATTACGGAAGCAACATGCGTCAATGGGGCCCAACCGATCGACATCAAGCCACCGATGCAATGGCACTTGTGGTCATGTTTGCCCCAGCCTAGCCGGTCTGATAAGTCATCAGCGTGGCCACGATGAGTCAATATCGAAGACGCGGCGGGTGATTTGAATGAGTAGGTGTCAGCGCGTGATAAATACGCTGCTTCCGGTTCCATTTACTAAACTTACCCAATAATGTGTTAGGTGCTTTACATGTGCTGCATGGTTGCTGCAGTTAGTCTGCAACTGTGTTTATGATCTCACGCTGCTGCATGTTTGACGGTTCTTGCCGGTTAAAACCCCAGGTCTCACTGCGCTTGATGTGAATGTTCGCGGATTACCTAACTTGAAAATCGCATGGATAATAAACTGCTTGAAGACACTATGCTAGTTTATTCGTTATCTTTTTACCTCATCCTGTACACTTGTATTACTATTTCAACTGGTACTCAATATGCCGCTAAACCGTGATTGTCTTAGTGAGACACTGTGGGTTGCGTGTGCTCGTAAAGTCGATAACTAGTCACAAGCCGATGACACTTTAACTCCATCAGTGTTCTCAGCATTGCCAGCTTTTCTTCTTTCATTTGATTCGACTTTGACAATGAGGTGGATTACAGTTTTATGCATCAATTTCTAGCTCTTCTGTATCCTTTTGTGCTTATGTCAGACTTTCTTTCGAGGATCATCAAGCCCACTGTATACTAGAAGATAAGTAAGAAAGTACGCCGTTAGTGTCCTCCTTTCCATTGCAGTGCAGAATGCTAAATAAACCTTGTGCTATCTGCCATCTGACGTATTACAGTGTTTTGCACATAACTTTTAATCTTCGTTCTACATTCTTCTAAATCTACCCTTTTGGGTTGTGTAGCAAATCGCTGGTATCCAGCAACAGCTGTCCGAGAAAACTACACGGCTTACTGCTGTGCGCCGTGAATGTCACAGACGACGTCTTCTACTACTCGCTCAGCAACAACTAATGGATTCAGGACCTCAGTCCTATCATCGATGCCTCTACTGTCCGAAAGCATTTCTCAATGCTTCCTTCTTGGCTGCCCATGTAGGTCGTCGGCATCCAGAAGTTGAACATGCTAGTGGTGCTACCACATCAGTTCAAATCGGACCGTCTTCTACGCGTGCCAAGAGGACATCTCCCGATAGACAAAATATTGATCTGGTGGGTTTCCCCGTACATTGCTGGAATCAGCAGGCTGTGTTGTATCACTTGTTCAACGTATCCTCGTCCTTGGTACCCTGGTCATAAGTGGAATTATTTCCCTCAAGCTGTCCGTGATCTAGTCACTCACATGCATACTACTTTTTATCATCCCGACATCATACTTTTGAAGGTGGTCTGCATTGCTTGGCCCAAGCAGTTACGGGTTTTCCTCAGCTAATGAGTTACTGTTGATTAGCAATACATCGCTACTTTCACAAATTATGATACTCCAGTCTACCTCTACCTTCTAAGTGAACAGGATGCTGGCTACTTTTATCCCAATTTCCCAGTTATGTCACGCGTCGGGTAGCCACTGATAATACACGACAGCTTAAGTAGAGGTACGTGATCATGTTTGCAGCAGTAACTCCCACAGAAGCCTTTCGATAAACAGATGAATCACGGATATACTATTATTATATTCCACATGTTAGCTGCAGGTGGCAAACACAGCAGCTATTGTGCGGCAATGTGAGTAAACTGTAACCAATGGACATCGTTCAGGAGAGCTAACGCCCGGGTATTGTGCGGAAAAGATGTCATATTACGCCTACTAATTGAGATCGTGTTTGGAGGGGAGGCTAAGCGGGAGGGGAGGGACAAAGGAACACACAACACAAAAGCCATTGTGGTCGGCTCCTAGTCATGTCAACAAGTGTATGCAAACATACGCGTTCATCGTCGTTCGGTCAACAACCAGTGAGCGGACACGGATATACTAGCAAAAAATTGAAAGCTGCGCGAGTTAAATCAAATAGCGCGCAGTCAGGTTATAACTCAGGCTTGTGATCCTTAGAGTTACGGGTCGACCAGATGAATGCAGCATGAATGGCTGTAGACTTTATCGGAACTTTGTAAGTAATCTTCTTATATGGTGGCGAAACCTCCCACCATTCGGAGTTAGATTACTAACTGAAGTTTAATTACTAATGAGCTTTAGTTTAAATTCGCACTATTTTGACCGAACAGACAAAACAAGCTTGTGGTACGTTTACATAGAATTGAAGCAAACATGACTGTGGCTAAGTTAATGCATTTTAGCTGGCCTAATGATCGACTGTAAGTTGCTATTACGAAGCAACATAACCGAAGGTTTGTGAAATGCGGCGTTGCTATTCCACATCTTTGAAAAACACCTGAATTGATTTCCTTCTTAAACAAAACTCGGAACGGAAGATGCGCAATAAGAAAAGGTTCAGACGCGTGGCCCAAAATCCGTCTCAGAGGTTCACGACCTCAGTTACCCTCTTTGACTTCAGAAAATTGAGATGTTCCCATGGTATATCGCCGCCGTCGAGGAGATCTCATTTACACCAGCCGGATCCTAAGGGGAGACCTTGAGACGGGCCTACAAAGACTCTTTCGACTCAAAGTGGATACCTCGACTCGGGGTAGCAATTGGAAGCTGTACAAACGAAGGATACTTTTCGTCCAATCTGCTGCTGCCCTATCTACCCAGGCGGTGAACGATTGGGAAGGCTTACCAGAGAACGTAGTTGATGCACCAACTGAGGAACGTTTTAAGTGTCTGTTAGCTTGCTGCCTGATGAGTACCGCGGGTTCCTGCTTCTCCTACTGCAAAGGCGACGATCCTCAGAGGCGCGTCAACTCGCAAGCACAAGCACTAACCCCGGAATGAACTGTAAGTAACGAGGCAGACAAGGGTTTCCTCTACTGCTCTCTACACACTAGTGAACCATTGCACTCATAACCAGCGGGGAATGCGAAGAGATGCGAGTTAGGGCTGGATGCCCGGATGAGAGCGAGAAGTAGAAAAGGTTGCAGCTTGTAAAAGGTACGTGAGTGTCTGCATATACCAGACTAAGTCGCTGCGTCGTGTAGAGGGAGTCGCCCTATCTTGCTAAGAGACCAGAGCTAATGCAAGTAGAGTGATGGAAAGCAGGTGATGACAATGAACGTCGGTTTACAGTGAAGAGTCTAATGGGTCGAGGCATGTAAGTAGATACGTAAACAAGAACACGTAGTAGCTAAGGCGCTGCGTCGCGTTGTGTACTTCAGTATTCTTTCCCTGTTGGGGGAAGCGAGGGTTTGAAGACTGAGTAATCAAAGCAACAGGCGGTACTGGATGCTTGTCTACAGCAAGAATCCAAAGCAGTTGGTGCCAGTAGGTGGTTAAGTGGGTAATAACACATACGACGCTAACGCGCTGCATCGCGCAAGATGATTAATCGTCCCCGGAGATTTAGGGGAAGAAAGCTAATGCAGGCTAAGTAGTGACATGCTTTGTGTGAGACCGGATGCGCAGATTTGGGCTGCAGTTGATGGCGACGGATTACTCCGTTAGCTACGTTGCCCACTTTTAAGATTAACCTTGGTCTGGGCTTCGTTTCCATATCGCATCTTCAGACTGGTTTAAGCCAAGTAATTTTGCAATATGGATTGAGCCAAAAAATCTTCGTAAATTAGTGCGGAATGCTGCACCCGTTGGTACATACCTGCGTTCCATTGGCCGCCTGTTCCAAGCGAACGCATATCTATTAACAACGTAGCTAGAGCATATGCTCCTACGAGATTTGGTAAGATGATCGAATAGGGTCTAGTCCGTAATGGGTGGCCCTCATCCACATTCTGTCGAAGAAAAACTCGGTTTTAGCATTTGAGTTGTGCAGTATCTGGAATAGGAATACCAGGTTAAGTTTGAGCCTCCGGAGCCACAACGGGTCTAGCCGGAGTTGTTTGCATCTTCCACGATAGTTTACTGGAGATGATTCCAATAGCCCTTTAGTGAAGGAATGTTGCAATCTCTCAGTTGCTATTCTCTCACTTTTCCGGGAGTTAGTTAATACTAATGAGCAGTATTCTAGGATAGGTCGAGCGCAGCACTTATACAGAGCAAGTCTGGATTTTTTAAGCACCATCGACTTACAGCTGTAGCCGGTGACTGATCTGGTCTTGACTCTACTGTATCCCGCGTGTTCGGCGACGTTTAGTGTACTGGAGTAGTGTACTCCTAGGTCACGTACTGTAAAGCACTTGGCAATTGATGACCCATTTATTCTCAATGTTTAGGACGGAATCCTACAACGATAGGAGTTGGCGTTGCAATTAGCTGGTGAGAATTCCATTTTCCAATGGTCGCAACACCGATCTAACGCAGAAACATAACTCTGAATATGGAGCATGGCAGTTCCTGTTCTATTCGCATCAAGAGAGAAAATAGCTTTGATCTCCTCTGCAAATAGGAATGGTCTTCCGTCGGTGAAGTAATCAAATATGTCCATAACGTACAGAATGAGTAATAGTGGGCCCAGAACACTACCTTCGAAAACGCCACTAGTGAAGGGCCTATATTGTGATCTCACTCTATCCAGCTGTACCAACTGTGTACGTCCTGTCAAATAGGATGTAAAGCATGACAGCAGCGGATGTGATATGCCGAATGACTGGAGTTTAGTCAATAGACCAGCGTACGGGACTCGGTCAGAAGTCTTCTTCATGTTAAGGAAGACAATGACAAATGCATGGCCTGAATCAATTTCTTTTGTTACAAGATCTAGAAACTCGAATTGACACGTTTGACAGCATTTATCCGGTAAAAAATCATCTTAGGACTAATTAATTAAGCTCGGCGTCAACAGAAATTCAAGAAATTGCTCTTTTACTATTCTCTCCATCACCTGTGATGCGATAGGAGTGCGGCTGATTGGACCGTATTTGTCAATGTTTAGGCGAGACCCCCCCTTTTGTGTCTCGGTAGCACAACAGCATGCTTCCAGGCAGCAAGGAAGGTGCTGCTTCTCACTGATATAGGGAAAGTGTTCAGGAGTATCAGGGAGACGTCACGGAGACGTCAGGACCACCTAGCTTTAGGACTACAGAAGGCAAGTCATCGGGACCAGGATTGTAGGACAGCTTGAGCGACTTTATCACCTTAGCAATGGTGCGCAGATCAAAGGTAATACTAGATGGTTCATCTGCTGTAAGTTTAGGTACGTGAGCTGTGGGTGTCATACGAGCATCAATAAAAGAGTTGCAGAAATGTATGTTTAAAATCTCGCATAGTTCTTCTTGGTCCGTAACGACTGTTTTATCCGGTAGTACAAGTGACGGGTGGGGTGCAACATTACGAAAGCCCCTTTGCTTTAGTAAATCAGCAAACGATTTTGACGGCTTTGCGCTTAAGCTCGCCGTTGTCTCCTGTGTTGACTTCATCGAAGACTATTTTTCCATTGCAGCATGGTTTCATTGATGCGCATAAGAAGATGGAACTTCTTTGTCTTCTTGTATTTGGATCACAATCTTTTAAGTTTGACGGACGTTATCTTTAAGTTCGCTGCGGTTGGTTGATTGAGTGGTCTACATCGGCATTACTTTGGTGCGGATATATCCAGGCAGAATTCAACATTGTTGTACAGCTCGTTGGGGGCTGCATCAATTTCAACTGCCAAATAGAACCTATCCCAATCTATGGGTCTAAAGAGATTGGTGAAACTGTTCCAGTTAATGCGCTGGAATGGTCGGTTGGCGGGCACTGGTCTTGTAGGGCAACCCATCACTGGTTTTCTTAAATGAGAGCTCCACTACCTCATGGTAGCTAACTTGGATCTTCTCTACTACACTCGCGCATGCACGGGGAATTCCTGTTGTCAGCAATAAGTCAAGAACATTATCTTGTCTAGTGCGTGCACATACATGCTGAATCCAGTCGCATGCCGTGATGGTGTCTTATAAATCCATATACTTTGTAGGTGCTGTCAGAGAGTCCCAAGTGATGTTCGGCAAATTAAAGTCACCTCCTACTAATTTGTGAGTAGGCGGTAGTACGGAAACTTGGTAGAAGAGTTGGGCAAGTTCCGTGGTACCTTCCGTGGTAGCGTGTGGTGAGTTATAATTGCAGCCAATTAAGAGGTCCAGGTGTTCCCCACTGCTCTGTACCCAGATGGAGTCTTCGGAATTACCAATAGACTAGGCTTCAAATGTAGAGGCATGAAAGTCCTCATGGATATAGCTAAGGGATCCGCCACCCCGGTTAGTGACGCGTCCATTACAGAAAGTTCTGTAACCCGGAATGTGCAACGAATTGAGTTTGGAACCATGATTTTACTATCCTACTATAGCAGTTCAGTAGCTTGACCCCTCACTAATTTTACAAGTGAGGTAACGAGCTTGTCTCGTAATCTTGCAGCGCAGATGCGATCCCACTTAGGGGTGGGCATCCTCGCGGTATACTCATCCCGCGTGGGACTGGTGGTGGTGGTCGCACGGCAGCAAAGCACGGTTACGGTGTACAACTGACAAATTATTATTTATTAATCGAAAGTAAAGGAATGATAATTTTCCTGACTGTATTGCTCTGCAGATTGGGAGTTGACTGTCTCCAATACCTAATACTTTGGAAAGCTACTTGAATAGGCCAATACACCTATCTTCGCGGTTTCGCACTTGGAACAACTATTCGGACTAAGTTTGTTGTCTCTATAATAACACCACCAATATTCGCATCAACGAAGCGTTGGAAGGCAAAATCTTGCGTCATCATGGCAATGCAAAGTAATGGTTATTTCTCTTGTTTTATTCGGAGACAATGTCTGGTCCTTTACCGAGGGAATACGATCATGGCAGTATCGATATTACGTGTATAGCTGTCAGTCTTCTTAAAGGTCTAAGGTCTCTAAGGTTTACTAAATGCAAAGCTGAAATAGGTTTGACAAAAATTTTTCCACATATTTTAGTTGTAACTGCCCAGCCTATTATACAGCATATCAAAGCTAGCCTCCAGATTCAGACTAAATCCTTTATCCTACGTCATGTTACTTGCAGTTGTGATGTTCGATGTCTGGAAACGAGACCGGACTCTCGGCGGAACCGGTACTTAAATGCTCCCCAGCAGCGACGTGGAAGGCACGGTTATAAAAGTGTTGGAACACTTATTCCAAAACTGTTATCAACTTGTGTGAAGGGATGATTTCAAAATTCTCTGCTTCGTGCCAAAGTGATCCTATAAAGGACATACAAAGACTTGTTAGTAGTGGTTGGACCCAAATGCAGTATGGCTAATAAGGCACAAATGATGCTTCACTTCTACATTTACTCCTTTTGCCACTGCCGTGACCTGATCGTGAGTATACTTCGCAACCATCACAAACGACAACCTGATTGTCCCCGTCACCCCATCGGTCGGACTAAGACCGTAAATAGCGTCGTCGATAGATCCAGGAAGAAAACGTTACTGCGCACTGACCTTCAAGTAGGATCGATGAACCTAACATCAGTACAACCGACAGATTCTTTTAAGTTCCTGGGTTTACCCTTTATTATGCACGCAAGCTACCGTCCCACTCGCTCGATGAGCTGCGCCAACAACTCTAAGAAACTTCTCAGGACCTTCCAAGCCCACGACACATCTACAGCCTCTCGCTGGGAGTAATGCCTTGATAGGCCTTCAAAATGATGGACAAATTAATCAGAACCAAAGTTTGCAAATGGATATAGGGGCTGCGTTCTTCCACGCATCCATAAATGATCACGGCTTACGCCTTCATAATCTTTCTACCATGTTGCTATTAATTCAGAAAGATAGACTGGAGTGACACTTCCCAGTCCTAATGTCATCCTGAGCTGGGCCATTCGTGACCCCTCAGCTTCGATAATACATCGGCTAGCTAATTCACCACTCAGCGTAGGTGGGCAAACTGTGACCGATAAAGCCGCCACAAAGGAGATGCGGAAGACTCAGCTACTTAAAACCCTTGACGTCTAGCCTCCTCGATTGAAATGCCAGACTCACGAACAATGCAGCCTGTTGTGGCTCAACTTGACGTAGCTCATAGTTTATGCGCCTACAGAAGTTTTGTGATCAGGTTTCATTCGTCGAATACCAGTCCTGAGCGCATAACTTTTGCTCCCATATCTGTTTCTTTGCCATGAACCTGCTACCATTGCTATATGCGCTATCCCAGACAGATGTAATTCAGTACCCGATTTGGTCATAAAATCTGGGTCATAGAACCATTCAACCGTAATCGTGGCCCAGCCAGTAGGTGAAGAAAATTGTGCGCTGGTTGCGTTGGATCCCGTTGACAGTGGACTACAGGTCAGTGGATTATACACAGCGTAGTCGTTAACAGAATTTCTACTTACCACATTTGGCCTCCTAAGATAAACTGAATTAGGGGATACTTTTTCTGGTACTCAGTAGTGTTGTTTGAAAATGCAATAAATAAAATATCGAGAATGTAAGGCTCTTTAATGCATTTCGCTTACCAGACCACACCGCTGGAGAAGGACGTACGAGAGTTACTGTCACATCTAAAAAGCAACCATTGCGCACTGCGTCATTCTGAGCAGCCAACACCAAGGGAAGAATCCAGGTATGCAGATGATGCCAGAAACTTGGCGGACGACAGGGATGAGTTACATGCACCGGCGTCAAAGGAACCCCAAGTTCTAGCTGACTCGCAGAAATCCGACTGGCAGACAATTCTGATGGAAGAACATCGTGTGAGTTCCATTTGCATCTCTTAAAGTCACTGCACTCAGCGTTTAAAAAGCACACTCATTATCTCGTCTAGTGAGTGACGTACATGCTGAATCTAGTCTTATGCCGTGATGGTGGCTAATAGATCGATATATTTTGGAGGTGCTGTCAGAGAGTCCCAGTTGATGTTCGGCAAACTAAAGTCACCTCCACCTCCGCCACCGTTGTACGAAGCGTACTGCACTCATTACACAGGGGAGGGTGGGATTAGGAAATAGAGTACTTTGGTCTTCCGAGGAAGGCACCGTGAACTCATGGAAAGATAAGAAGTTATGTTTGGCTGGACTAGCGAACAAGTGAAGCTGTTTTTCTTGTCGCCATTAACTCACAGTGCCTGACCTTGGGGCACTGATGCTTTCCGAAACCCTACTAAGCGGATTTTGGTCATGTTGTTGTTTTCAGCTGCCAATTACTGTCACATAGGCTGCATCAGGGAAGTGGCATCTGACATGCATCGAACGTCTTAGGTAGTAGACGGCTTCTAGATAGGCTTAAGGAAGCGTAACTTTCCCGGACCCTTCCTCACATTTCCTGCTTTCGGAGTTAGCTGTAGCTACTACTGCAGTGTTATGCATTTGAAGTTCGCGACAACTGGGAACAGTCACTGACGCCATTAGATGGCTTGAGTTGTTCCGTTCTGGTCAACGGTTACTTCAGTAAATGCGCTAATGACTAATAGGTGTTCATCTCGAAGCATCGTAACTTCAAACTAGGCCAGCGTCAACTCGATCTCAGGCGAGAATCTCGCCGAAGTCGAAGAGTTGAGTGGAAATTGGAATGGTCACCAGTGCCCTTGGAGTGTTCCACCTTGGTCACTGATGGAGGACACCTTTAGATGCATGGTATCACTGTGTTTGAGCTACCGTGACTCAGTGATCGAACTTTTGAGTTTTAACTCATTTATGTTTACACCATCTGATTACTTGTCACTGAGTGGTGTACTTTGGGACTTGCGTTAGCCACCTTACCGCACTGAGTGTACGATATCAACATTAAATACTCAAAGATGATCCATCCTGGCCTTCCCCCAAGTCTTGGTTTAAGACAAATACTTCGCTTCTTAACTACTCCTTGCTTGCTGCTACTGTCATCACGGATTTTTCGCAAGGTAGAACGGGTTCGGGTTTATACTGCACACTACCTCACATTAATGAACCACAGATACCGTACTTAATAAGCTTATGTCCGCCGGATTTGTTTCCTGCTCCCAAGTCTTCATGTGCGAAAACATATGCCACAATTAGGAACAACCAAATGGTCGGCGGTACTTATTCAGTTACTCATGGAACCCCAATAAAGACAGGAAGTATTTCGTTATTCTTTCCCTTGTTAATACCCTTTGGTTGCTCGCATTGTGAGGGCTTTCGGTTGCACTGATTAACCTTACTCGAACCCACGATCACTCCAGACTGGTACATATTGTTTTGCTTTACTGATGAATAGGGGGCTTAGATGTAAAAACTTGGTGGTTCGTCGCACCTCATTCTAAATCAGACAGTCGTGGGTTCTGATCCAGATAGATCAGATGAAGGCGCACTAGTTAGGAGACGCGACACTTCATAACGGTAACTTATTGCTTTTCCTGGCATGTGAAGGAATGCCTGCTTTGGAAGCTCATACGAAGAAAGCCCCAAAGTATCTTCGTGTATTTTATTGAAACGCACTCAAAGGACCATAGCATAGTACCACCGCACGAAGCAGATCCTTGAATTCCGTACGCCTAAATACATTTTGTAGTGTCATTAAGATTAACGTTCGACTCCCTGGGTATCCTGGTGCGTGAAGTGGACAAATCGCGAAGGATTCATAGCTTCGCAAGAATGAAGCTTTGTCAACATTACCTCCATAAGCTTGTGGTGTAAGTTTTTGCATGCCTTTTTATCAAACGAGATAGCAAGCGCAAATTCTCGGCTTCACCTAGTAGCTTCAGATTGCTGTAATAGAGGACCGCTTTGCACATCCCGGTGCACTGCTTGTTGTATAGTAACTGTGACTAAAACTTAAATTGGTGCAATAGTATGTATGCCTCAATGATACAGTGAGCTACACTGGGCGTTGAGTTTTAAACTTGCGGTACCACATCTATGGGGCTGTTTGATGGCAGTCATCTAGACAACCTGAATTCCCCGATCATTATGTCAGTTGATAGATTAAGTTTAGCTACGTATTTCTTAACCCCACGAACACTCGGTTTGCACTGAGTGCGAGTGATATAGCAACTTGGACGTACTCACAGAGTGGTCACACTCCCCTGCTCGACTATGTCATCGTACGTCAGCGTGGTATGCATGAAGTGCGCATGACACGTTTATTGCGTGGAACTGAGTGAGGCACTGATCACAAATTGGTACGGACCAAATTGTACATATATTTTCTTAAATCTGTGTATTGCACTGCCGCCGAGAATCGGCGTAAAGTTAACATTTACTCCCTCGGTACTGTGGCGAAACCTATTGAGCTGGAGAAGGCGATGGCTGCACGCCTGTGTAATGTGGATTACATAGCCACAGGGGGTGATCTGTGGCACCACATACGCGACCAAGTGACAGCTGCTGCCGAGGAGACCATCGTGCGCGCAAAGTGTAAGCGGCCTGATTGGTTTGATGAGAACAAGGAAATGATTGGCGCATTTGTGTCGGGGAAGAATGCAGAATTTGCTGTACATGTGGCTGACCCCAGTGACTTTGGAAGAGTAGTCAGTTGCGCAAGCTTAGAGGGCGACTTACCCGAGAAATCCGTGGCATAAAAGTGCATGGTGGCCGGAGAAGGTGAAGCAGATGGAATGCTACGTGGACGCCGCCAACACAAGGAATTCATCGACTCCATGAAGGCGGCGTACGGACGACGATTGGAGCCGTTGAGGACGCTGATCAATGGTAGTTCAGGCGCTACCTGCACCCAGACTGCAGATATAATGCAGACCTGGCGGAAAAGCTTCGACTGTCTCTTGAACAACCGTTCAGTGATCGACTGGCCTACATAAAAAGGTCTGAAGTAGCACGATAAGAAGGTGAGTTTGATGAGCACGCCGACGCAGGTTGAGTCGCAGACAGCACTTGCTCAGCTGCAAAACGGCAAGTGTGCCGGGATCCCGCCTGAAGTATTGAAACACGGCGGACCTGCTTTAGTGACTGCGCCGCAAAACTTTGTGCAAAGCACGTGGATTGAGGAGGAGGTGTCTCCTGAGCTGAAGGATGCCCTTGTGCTACCGCTGTACAACGGCAAAGGGAGCAAGCGATGTTGCACGAATTCTCGTGGCATCAACTTGCTGAGTTGTGTTGGCAAGATGATTGCCCCGAATCATGCTTAACCGCCTCGTCAGTCAGGTTGTGGAACCTAACGTGGCGGAAGAGCAGTGTGGATTCTGTTCGGGTCGCAGCACTATAGATATGGTGTTTGCGGCTCGTCAGTTGCAAGAGAAGTACAGAGAACGACACCAGTCGTATTACTCGCTGGTTATTGATTTCGCCAAGGCATTTGATACAATGAACTGTGAGGTATTGTGGCTGGTGTTTGGTTAGTTTGGTTGCCCGCGTAAGTTTGTAAGTTTAATTGAATATCTGCACATTGGTATGCGGGCGAGAGTGCAGCTGAGTGGAGGGAACTCGGATGACTTTGCAGTTGTCTCTGGTGTGAAGCAAGGCTGTGTGTTAGCTCCTGCCCTGTTTAATATATATCCTCATGCAACGTTGTCTTGTGCTTTTGATGCGGCTTGTGCTTACGGTGTTCGTGTGGAGCAACGTATTGATGGTGGTTTGCTGAATATCCGTCGTTTCGGTGCGTGAACTTTAGTCTGTGGGACAACTATCCGTATGTTGCTGTTTGCTGAAGACTGTGCGTTGTTTGCACCCATCGCGGATGAGTTGCAGCACATGACTAGTGCTGTGACTTCGACACGGGCCCAATTCGTGTTCACCATTGTCACATGCAATACCATCTGTCTCTTTCAGCCTTCACCGGAGGTGCAATCTTCAATATTGCCGCAAATCAGCATTGGTGCTGAAGTATTGGAAACCACCTCCCGCTTTTGCTACCTTTGGAGTTTGATGCCAACTGATCAGGAGCTACACATTGAGCTTCGTATTCGGGTCTCGAAAGCAGCGACGGCATGCGGGAAGCTAGAGTACCGAGTGTCGAACAACCATCAGCTTACCATTGGCACGAAGCTAGTGGTGTATAAATCTATGGTGCTGTCCGTTCTTCTCTACGGCAGTGAAACGTGGACGATGTACCGCCGGTATGTGCGATATCTCCAGCAGTTCCATCAGCAGTGTTTGCGACGGATTATGCGCATCGGTTGGGGCGACAGAGTTGCTGACACGGAAGTGTTGCGACAAAGTGGAGTGTATGCAGTGGACTGCATACTTTTACTGATACACCTGAGGTGGATCTGTCAAGTGAGCCGTATGTAATCGACGGAGATACCGAAACAACTATTATATGATCAGCTGAGTATTGGGAAGCGGCATGTGGGGAAACCAAAGTTATGTTACCAGGACATGATCAAAGTGAGCCTCTCACGTTCTAATCTTCATTGCAGATCATGGGAATCGAAGGCGGTTAATCGGCGTGCATAGCGCGATTTAATCACGAAGGCAGTTGCTGAAGTGTGGGAGATAGACCTCATACATGCAAAGAAGAAGCGGCAAGCACCGATGGGTTGTACTCCATCGACATCGAGCGCATGGTGCTGTGGCACATGCGGTCGCGAGTGCCTGAGTCAGGTAGGTCTAGTGAGCCATGAGCCAGGCCACTCGGGACCACCACCGAAGCGACGACAGGTCCTGCAGAGAACGTAGGCAGGACCGGCGCAGCGTTGGTAGGTACGCTGCATTTGATTTACTAACCGCGTGCCTGCATGCTAAGTCTATTTCAGGTGGTTGTTTTGAAATTTTGTCCTAATGATTTTCTTTCTCATACTATTTTCTACCTGTACCACCTTCAATCAGTTTGCACACGTCGCTGAAATTGATTGTAGTTAAGTTCGATAAGATTTTCGTGTTTGTGGCATTTCCGTACCTACCGATTTCCTGAAATTATCTCGGATCCGTTTGTAAACAAATTATTCCATATGCTCATTAATTTAAATTTCTTGTCGCCGTTTCCTTATGCTTTAATCGATTTAGTTTACTTGTTACCTTTCTCTCAATTGCTTGGCTCTTGTTTGATATCCCAGGTGTGGCTGCGCTTGATGTGCATGTTGACAAGGTGCCTATCTGTCTAGTACCCACTACCTCGTTCATACTGGCTCCAGGAGACAGTTGGTCGTTGCTGGAGGGACGGCGTACACGGTCCATGTGGCAATGTTGGATCAAAGAGTGGTTCCATGCACTCAGTGTGGAGCGGAAAACGGTCCAGCCAATGCCTTGTATGCGCTTGATTCCCCAAATACAGCGTGCTTGTGTTTGCCTGTGAAGGAGTGTGGGTCGCCTCCGTTGATGAAACGTGGCTCCCATCCGCATGCCTCCCGGTATTATTCCTTCGGGTTTACACTGGACATGGTGTGTATGGATGGATCTGTGGGTGGTGAAGTGCAAGCCATCCATGGTCCCTCTGTAGGCTCAGGCATCCTGTGGCTGGTCACAGTGACATGCAAATCCGAAGCCGTATATATACATGGTTGGCGGCATCCGGTTTCGGATTTGCCTGTCACTGTGGCAAGCCACAGGACGCCTGCGCCTACAGAGGGACCATGGATGGCTTGCGCTGCACCAGCCACAGCTCCAACCACATACCCCATATCCAGTGTAAACCCGAAGGAATAAGACCGGGAGGCATGTGGATGGGAACCACGTTTCATCAACGGAGCCGGCCCACACTCCTTCACAGGCAAACACAAGCACGCTGTATTTGGGGAATCAAGCGCATACAAGTTGGTGGCTGGACCGTAGTCTGCTCCACACTGACTGCATGGAACCACTCTTCGATCCTAACACGGCCACAAGGACCGTGTACCCCGTCCCTCCAGCAACGACCAACTGTCTCCTGGAGCCAGTATGAACGAGGTAGTGGGTACTAGACAGATAGGCACCTTATCAACATGCACATCAAGCGCAACCACACCGGGGATATCAAGCAGCAGCCATTCACTTGAAACGACTAGCTGAATTAAAGTAAATCAAATAATTCATGCAGATATCATGGCATAACTCTTTGCTAACTTCCCATATGAATTAAGATGGTTAGCAACAAGTTCGCGATAAGTAAGAAATGTCCACAAGTTACTTAAAAATGCTACAAAAGCAACAACGTTACCGACGATAAGCGCAATTAGCGTAAGCAACGTGGCCGTTTAATAGAGGATTACTCAAGTAGGAAGAACAAACCAAATAAAGTGGAATGAAATTTATCCAGCTTAAAAAGACCTAGTTTAAATGTAAGTTGGTTTAGACCAACTGCTGTGAAGAAGCGTCAAGAATGCTACATCAGCGTCAGCATATATATATATATATATATATATATATATAACGCAGCAGTTGGGCTAAACCAACTTACACCTTAGCTAGGTCTTTTTAATGTGGATAAAATTCATTACATGTTATTTAGTTTGTTCTGCGTACTTGATACTCTTCTCCTTACTTGCACACGTCGCTCACGCAACTTGTGATAAACTTGCGTAATTTTATCGCGTGGTATTTTTACAATAACTTTCAGACGTTTTGTACTTATCAAGGATTCACTTATAACCAATTTCTTCTATATGCTCATTTAGCCGGCTCCGTTGATGAAACGTGGCTCCCATCCGCATGCCTCCCGGTCTTATTCCTTCGGGTTTGCACTGGATATGGGGTGTGTGGATGGAGCTGTGAGTGGTGCAGCGCAAGCCATCCATGGTCCCTCTGTAGGCGCAGGCGTCCTGTGGCTGACCACAGTGACAGGCAAATCCGAAACCGGATGCTGCCAACCATATATACGCCGTGTATTACTGAATATATTCCCATTCATAAATGGGTCGATAGTGTAATTTACAACATCACATTTGTCCAGTCGCAACTCCCTCTAATACCGGACTCGTAAAAATTCGACCAAATGAAAAAAATTGTTTCTCATCGATTTCGACGTCCTCATTAACTTCCTCACTTGAGTGGATTCAAGTGTAACCTGCCGTACAATTCAGCAGTAGTGGTGACACTAATGTTTTATAGTCGCGGTTACTGCGGCGTAGGGTCGTCATAACCGACTTTCATCTCACCGGTTATTGTACTGACCAGATGATTTGGCACATTAAACATGCAAGACAGCCTACGTTACAGGATAGATTGAGAGGGTGTGTCAGTTCGCCTCATGCGTATGGGCCACTGTGGAGCAATGAATGAGCGCATAGTTCACGGTCATGTGTGTGTGACAACGTACTTTTAAGGCACCGGGTCGCCATACATAAGTGATGTTTAAGCACCATTGAATCGCTACTGCTATTCGTCGCGAAGGTCAAATATGCATTATACCGAGAATTTTCGACACAAAATTAACGTGTCCACTTATACTTCACATTCCTATCTGGAATACTCTCGGTCACTAGCGGGTGGTGCCAACGGGAGATAAGTGGTGTTCAGTGAATTTCTGAGTGGATTTTACATGTGACCTTTTCAAATTCCGTATAGCCTTTTTATAAACCGACCCTCCCTCTACAGAAACGAGAAATTATCCAAAAATCATCCACTTATATTTGATACTATACTGTATATGTTCATAATTAATAAGTTTGGCTCCGTAACTTTTGTGTTGGATGTGTAGGGTTCCGGCTATCATCGGTATAGTTTTTCTCATTTTATTACAGCCACAGCCGTTTCCAACCTCGGCGATTTGGTCGATGATACACCAAAAGTGAGTACAGCTGGATTTAAAAGCATTACGGTTTATGTTGATGCAAATGCAGCTCGACAAAATGCAAGTTACTTCATGACTATAGGAATGGGACGATGCAAACGATACTGGCGGCGATAACTATGAGGATTTACTTTAAATAGATAACCCACATTCACTCAGCTCTATCATAAATTGATCAAAAGTGATAAAACAGTGTTATTTTTATAAGTCAATCGAGCCTCATGTTCACGCTTGTGGTTAAAACAAATGTTTCACAAGGACAAAGGGACCACGGACATACAACCTCACGGCCAGTAAAGAAATCCCATACTGTGTTAATTTCATTAATTCAACATACGTAAATGTTTGAATAAAGCCATAAGAAGCCGAACACTGGCAGATGTCAGCATTTCGTATTGGCATTGGGTAGTCCTTTGGGCCCAGTGATAGCAGATTTTTGTATGTCGATGATTGAAACGAAGTTACGTGTAGAAATTTTGCTTCTTTCCTACTATAAGCGGTATGTGGATGATACTTTATTTAGTTCATCAGAGGATCACATCGCTCGTCTTTCCGATCGCCTGAATAACGTGCATACGAATCTAAAAGTAACCAGCCAAACAAAGAAAGGCAATTGCCTCCCATATCTGGACGTGTTGATTTGCCGAAGAGCAGAGGGGTCTCTCAAAAGAGAGGTTTACCGAAAGCCGACTTGGTCAGGGCAGTACCTGCAATTTACCAGCTTCTCCCCAATGCAGTACAAGCGAACCTTCGTCAAGACACTATTCAATCGTGCAAGAAAAATATGCACTACCGATAATTTAGATGATGAGATAAGCTCGCTCAAGAATACGCTTTTGAAAAATGGCTATCCAAGAAGATTCATCGACTAACATTGTCAGGTGGGGGTACCGGGACAGAAGGTACCGACAGTGTCTAGAAAGTAGGTCTACATCGAGCTCTCATTTAAAGGGGACTTCGCCAATATGAGGACAACGAAGCGCATAAGTTCCGCAGTCAGAGGACTTATTATGCTGCTGAAACGACTCTTATCAGAAAGACAACCTATTGGCGCCAACTCACATTGCATGTACCAAGTTACTTGTAGTTGTGGTATACACTACATCGGCCGTACCAATCGATCGTTGAATTCCAGAATAAGGGAACATGTACCTAAATGGTTGCAGCGTCTAATCACCAACTCCTCGGTTCCTCATACCACCAGTTCACGTAAGCCACCTGCTCCATCCATAGGAAGGCACCTGTCATCAGTTTGATTCGGCCAAAATGTTTCCAATCGTGTTAAGACATGCTAACGCCCGCTTCCTACGTTTCGCAGAGGCAGTCGCGATCAGCCCTATTAAACCCGCACTCTGTGTGCAAAAACAGTTGTTCGTAAGAAGACGGCTGCCCTGGGCGAAGGGGTGTCACGCCTGCCCTCTACTCTGATCTATCTTGTTCCGGTCTCAGCCCACCTGTCGTCTTATATATTTTCATGTTATTGTGTTGGCACTGAAGAGACAATACGAAATGTTGACATCTGCAAGTGTTCGCCTTCTCACGACTTTATTCAAATTACCAAGGGGATCTAATTGTTTCAGATACGTAGTTTTGAATTGCAACACTGCTTTGGACTCGGTTAGATATGCTGACAAACTGGGTCACAGGTTCACCAATTGTCTCTCGCATCACAGTAGTATGCGGCTCGCTTCAGCCTCGGTATCGTTGACCGCTTTTGCTGTACGGCGAACACAAGGGCAACATCTGCGTCGGCATTCTGGAGTCGCCGAGACGTGAGAAACAATATGCCATGATGAAATTGACTCGTACTCGAGGATACGCAAGACGTATCCCTCGCAACGAAATCCCTACGATACGCTGCGTAAATATGGGTTAGCCTAGTCGCAAACCGTTGAACGTGATCTCTCTTTCACTTTGTATCATAAAGCAACAAACAACGAGCACATGACTGGCATTCTAGCATTGGTATTGCGAGTAGGAAACAGCAGATTAATACTTTCACAGAAAGTGCGATAGGAGGCCAAAAGTTGTTGCATTCGGATTGGCTACACACCGTTCGCGTTGTCCACCGACTTCAATTTGCAGCTAAAGTGATATTTGCAGCATGCGATATTTAGAGAAGCCAAGCATTCAACATTTCCATGGCAAGCAGAAAGCAAATTCAGTTTATGTTGACGGTTTCGGAGACCATGTTAGTTGTATTCTACAACGCTCCACAACACACTGTACTTATACACTAGTTAGGCGAGGTGTAGTCGAGCAGTTCTGTTGCTGTGCTCTACAGACATCAGTCCACTGCACCTATCCTTTCTTAACATATGGTAGAATGTACTTTGTCGGTTTGCCACCCAGACGACATGGTATCCGCGCAGATGAAACCAACGGTCACCAGTACATGTTGTACTGCATCCGTCTCCAATGCCGCTTGATTGGCTACTACTCTGAGCAATATGAATTACAATGTGGAGTCTTAATGCGGTATGTGGTATGCTTCCAATGTAATTTGGTTCCTTGTAGTTTCGCCCAGCAACGAGGAAGTAATAGCTTTTCATCCTCCATCGCATGCAGCAGTGGCATATATCTTTAGGGCGCTTAACATTTTGCCTAAACTATCATAAACTAATCTCGTGTGTTGAATCGATTACTCCTTTCAAGCCGAGAGGCCCCCTGTCATTCCATTCTCCGGGTAACATCGACAAATGCTTATCGCTAACTGCTGACATTACTCGTAAGCTGTGATTGAAATTCAGAACTAGGCCCATGTAGGTATCCTTAAATAGCTAGCAACCGGTGGACAGCAGCAATTCTGTACGATGTATATACCTAGTGCTTATTTCATGTATCAAGTGGCAGCGTGGGAATCATTGCTGACCTCCCGGTTCGGCTGCAGCATGAGCTTTGATACGTGGTCACCATATTTCTAGTTGAGTGGAAAGTGTTTAGAGGTACCTGAACACTGGAACTTGATGCTGCGGAATTCTGGAAACGTAACAATTATTTTTCACTGTTCGCTTCGGCGTCTAAAACCGATGTAGAGGCTTTGAATAGCTGCAACAGGGTCAGTTCAATTTTGTTTGCTTTTGTGCTTTATGAGCACAATATTTACCCTTTATTAATAGTCTACGCAAATGGTTGCAAGAAAATGATTGTACCGTTTTCTAGTAATTCTCGGTGATAAGAGGGTTCATTCATCCCATGTATAATGTGGAAAACCTGTGCTCACCCTGCATTTTGCAATGTACTTTGCAATGTCATTGCAGCCATGCGTTCGGGAACACGTGGAAGCTAAGAGTATACCCGCTGAGGCGCCCGGCAGTGAACTAACTCACGTTCACATTTCGCCAGCTGCAGAACGTAGACATCCACACCCAGATGACCACTGCTTGCCACGTGGTTCGCCTCATAAACTTACGGCTGGTAGTTATGGGAGTTTAGAGTTGCTCCTCAGATCTAACGCCGCTACTCACCACTTCTCTCCCGCCCGTACAATGTCACTGGAGAGAAATCAAAAGTCTAGGCCGATGTCACGAATCGCCCCAGAGATGGATGATGACGATGATGACCGCGCAGAGAGTGACATAACTGCGCCAACCTATACTTTATCGGCTGCTCGGGGCTTGCAAACGCAACAGGTTACCGATATGCATATGAGCAATGTTATATTTGACAACCGTAAGCGATTGGCGCCTGCAGAAACAGATGTATTAGATAAACGTCATCGTCTCACACATCCGGCTGCTCAGCACAATGTTGATTACGCCCTAACAAGAAAAACAAGGAGAGTCAAAAAACGCATCCGATCGACAGCGATTCAGGTGGGTTTGGGACGCTCCTCTTCCAGACAACGACATTCGACCACTGCGCAAACAGACAGGGTGGAAGACGCAGTATTTTTGAAGGTGAAACGTCCATATTCAAGATCGGGCTCATCCACTGCATCGCAAAAGTCAACATCACCCAAATCCAGGCGGTTCGTGCGAATAGCTGATGGTCATTCCAGAGAAATAGTCATAGTACGCACTGATGACGAGGAGATGAGCACAAACATGGGCCACGACGACGATCGAAGCGATCTGCTGCGTAGCGTGCATCTAATGCCGGTGTTTGGTGAGAAAGGATTGTATCGTGTTATCGACAGGCCACTGGTTAGTCTAAGAGCCAATGTTGCGTTAAGTTCGGTTCGATTAGTTTTGTGCGCAGCTTGTCGCCTTTAAACAATAACAAATGTATTCCCCATATCGCTTATTCGTTTTTATAGCGAAGTATAGACCAAGGGCCCATCGGTTCAAGAACAACTCAGTTTAATGCCACCTCTCCTTCTCCTCCGGATGCCGAAGCTGCTAGCCGAGGAACGGCGGTATTGCGCAGAGATTTCGTACAACCTGATCCAAAAGAGGCGAATGAACCGGTCTCTTTAACTTCAGTTAGAACCAGCCCACCGACGCATCATTCACAACGCAGTGTGAGCTCTCACTCATACACTCCCGATACTCTGCGGCCTTCGCACAAACTTAACCAGGCTATTTTATTAGAGGATAGTGAAGAAGAGGATTCAGAAGAAAATCAAGTCTCACAGGCAACAGGACCGGCTCCAGCATCTAGTGCTTCTAGTAAGTTTATCTATATGGTTGTGCTTATGTACTAGGGGAGAACGCAAACTAGTTTGACAAATTTGCATTTTGCAAACCCATATCCTTCTACTCCATATCAACTAGCTCAAAGCAAACCAGACCTCAGATATATACTTCGTTCGCTGCATTGTATTTTCACCTTTTTCTAGGCCTAGGAAGTCATGTTAATCTCATAAAAAGAATCCTCATGCTACGTCCCACCTAGATATGACAAATTGCATTGCCTCACAAGCTCAAAACGGTTGTTTGGTTGAAACCCAGCAGTCCTTATCCGTCTTTGGTAATTAAAAATTGTTATTGTAAATAAAAGGGTAAATACTCACCGCAGAGAATTCTCGGAAATATTTGCTTATTCCTATACATCAGCACGATTGAATTGCGTTTTTACTGACGGGTAAACAATGGCAGCAGTCCCATCTTTTGCATGCGCCGTACTGCGTTCAAACCAGCGACCCGGCACTCACGAGCAATTCCATCCATGATAGCGATTACGTTGAGTTGTCTTTGGTTTAGCAAGCCATAGGTGCTTTGACCCATTGTGATGCCGTTACTTGCTTACGGTATCTCATTTGTATGTATATTCACAAGCCAGTATCCAGACAATATGGTGGGAGTGTCCATAGTGCACTGCGGCTGGTGATGACTAGATCCTGACAAATGATTTACCTAATACTGCTACTGTTGCGCCATAGGTTCTTGTCTTGGACGCCTCCTCATGGCGACCGCCGGGTGGGAGTTGGGTTACGCTCATCTTCTAGCTAGGAGCCAGGACACCAATTCCCATGAGGCAATGAACTGACCATGTGTTAGACCCGCTGGCTTACGGGTGTAAATTTAAACGAAAGCTATGGCTGAGGACCCGAGTCGTTCTTCTGTCAGGTGTGGGCGCCCTGCCAGTATCCTAGTCCAAACCCCTTCCTATTTGGAGGTAAGGAAATGGTTGATGACCCTCTTCCCGTAAAACCTAGCCACGGGAGACAACAGGTCTACGGTTGATAAGCTCAGAGATCGCCTGGCCTACATAAAAAGGTCTGAAGTAGCACGATATGAAGGTGAGTTTGATGGGCATGCCGACGCAGGTTGAGTCGCAGACAGCACTTACTCAGCTGCAAAACGGCAAGTGTACCGGGATCCCGCCTGAAGTATTGAAACACGACGGACCTGCTTTAGTGACTGCACCGCAAAACTTTGTGCAAATCATGTGGATTGAGGAGGAGGTGTCTCCTGAGCTGAAGGATGCCCTTGTGCTACCACTGTGCAATGGAAAAGGGAGCAAGCAATGTTGCACGAATTCTCGTGGCATCAGCTTGCCGAGTTGCGTGGGCAAGGTGATTGCCTCGAATCATGCTTAACCGCCTCGTCAGTCAGGTTGTGGTACCTAACGTGGCGGAAGAACCACGTAGTTGACGTTCGGGTCGAAGCATTATAGATATGTGTTTTGCGGCTTGTCAGTTGCGGGAGAAGTATAGCGAACGACACCAGCCGTTGTACTCGCTTTTTGTTGATTTCGCCAAGGCATTTGATACAATGAACTGCGAGGTATTGTGGCTGGTTTTGGGTTAGTTTGGTTACCTGCGTAAATTGGTGTTTAATTGAATATCTGCACATTGATGTGCGGGTGAAGGTGCAGCCGAGTGGAGAGAACTCGGATGGGTTTGCAGTTGTCACTGGTGTGAAGCAAGACTGTGTCTTAGCTCCTGCCCTGTTTAATATTTATCTTCATGCAATAATGTGCTTTTGATGCGGCTTGTGCTTACGGTGTTCGTGTGGATCAGCGTATTGATGGTGTATTGCTGATCATCCGTCGTTTCAGTGCGAGAACTTTGGTCTGTGAGACTACTATCCGTATGTTGCTGTTTACTGAAGACTATGCGTTGTTTGCACCCATCGCGGATGAGTTGCAGCACACGACTAGTGCTGTGGCTTCGACAGCGGCCCAATTCGGTCTCATCTACATCGCAAACAAGACGGTTTGTCTTTTCCAGCCTTCACTCGGAATGGATTCGGCGGTGCTGCCCGAAATCCAGGTTGCCGACGAAGTGTTGGAAACCACTTCGAGATGTTACTACCTTGGTAGCGTAATAACAACCGACCAGCAGATGAGGTGCGAGCTGCGCAACCGAATATTGAAGGCAGCTGCTGCCTTTGACAAGCTGGAATTCCGTGTGTGGAATAAGCACCGGCTCATTGTTGGGCCGAAGCTGCTGGTGTATAGGTCTACGATGCCGTCCGTTTCTCTATACGGCAGTGAAACCTGGACGCATTATGGGGAAGGATGTCCGAGATCTGGAGCACTTCCATCAGCAGTGTCTGCGCCGTATTAGACGCATTGGTAGTGGACTGCGTAATTCTGCTGAGGCCCCTGAAGTCGGCCCTATTCGGTGTATGGATTCTAGCCGGATACTGAAACAACTACTTTATGGCCAACGGAGTGCAGGGACACGGCACGTAGGAGAACCGAATTTTCGATACCAGGACATGATCAAAAAGGAGCCTATCACGTTCTAATGTTGATTGCAGGTCATGGGAATCTAACGCGGTTGATCGGCGTGCATGGTGCGATCTAATCACGAAGGCAATTGCCGAGGTGCAAGAGAAAGCCTTCCTGCACTCAAAGAAGAAGCTGCAAGTGTTGAAGCGACAGGCGCCGATGGGATATACTCCATCGTCAGCGAGCGCATGTTGCTGTAGTACGCGCGGTCGCGAGTGCTTGAGTCAAGCAGGTTTAGTGAGTCACGGGCGAGGCCACTCGGGTCCAGCATCGAAACTACGACGGATCCTGCTGAGGACGTAAACAGGACCGGCGCAGCATTGGTAGGTACGCTGCATTCGATTTACTAACCGCGTGCCTGTGTGCTGTGTTTCATTATTTCAGGTGGTGGGTTTGCTACCTTGTCTCAGTGTTATTTTTTTAACTCATTTTAACATGTACCTGAATAAGCTACTGTACATTCCACTTAAACTAAAGGCGGTTAATTTCGCTTATTTTTTTCTTCTTACATATGTGTCTTGGTCCCTCCTTCTGCCTCCTTGAATCTGTCAGGCCATTTTGATAATCCATTTATTTCATAGGCTAATGGAGCACACTTTCCGTACGGTGCATTCGATGTGTTTTATTTGACATTTCAGTCCATGTGATTGGCCGACGTTTGATATCCCCGGTGTCGCTGCGCTTGATGTGCATGTTGACAAGGTGTCTACCTGTCTATTACCCACAATCCTCTCTATACTGGCTCCAGGCGACAGCTGGTCGTTCGTGTGGGGACGAGGTACACGGTCCTTGTGGCCGTGTTAGGATCGAAGAGTGGTTCCATGCACTCAGTGTGGAGCGGACTACGGTCTAGCCATCGTCTTGTGTGCACTTTATTCCCAAATACAGCGTGCTTGTGTTTGCCTGTGAAGGAGTGTGGGTCGGCTCCGTTGATGAGACGTGGCTCCCATCCGCATGCCTCCCGGTCTTATTCCTTCGGGTTTACACTGGATATCGTGTGTGTGGATGGATCTGTGGGTGGTGCAGCGCAAGCCATCCATGGTCCCTCTGTAGGCGCAGGCGTCCTGTGGCTGACCACAGTGACAGGCAAATCCGAAACCGAATGTCGCCAACCATACAGACAATGCGCCTTCAGAACCATGGCAAAATGGAAGACTATAGGCGTAAGAAAGCCAAGAAGAAAAAGGACAGTTCATTTTTGAGTTTTACACACGCCGCTTTGAGTTTTTGCTATTTGTTAGATATAAAAATATATACTTGAGATTACGCATGAGTATTAACGCGAACAACAACACAAGCACCATTGAGGTCTGTTACGTGCCATCACAGCAAGCGTTTGCATCCCCAGGATTTCCGAGTCACTTGGTCCCTAACTTGGTAGGCTTACCGATGCGACTGAAGCTAAACTTGAGGGTGCTTTCTTCATGCTCCTTTTCCATGTCATTGGTTGTCCACCGCGATACTTTTTCCAGTTGTATCCGGAAGCGCAAATAACGCTCGCCGGGGAAGGCGATAGGCTGGCATCCGCAGTACGTGGCCGAGCCAACGCATGCAGTGTCGGAGAACAATGTTTTGAAGGTTGGGGCTGTTCGTTCCAAGCACTCGTTCAAGAACCTCCGTATTGCCTATGTGATGTTGCTACCACACACTCGTGATCATTCGCAGACAATGGTTGCCAAAAACTGACAGTTATCTCATGGCCTCGGAGCGAAGAGGCCAGGTCTCACAGCCGTACAGCAGGACCGTACACAAGGAAGCATTATACACTCCACCCTTGAGCTTGAGACTAACGTCTTGACGACGCCATAGGTGTCTCAGTTTAATGAAAGCAAGGCGGGCTTTTGCAATGCGCTGTGAAACCTCATCTACAACACTGCGACTCGCTCGATAGGTGAGGCAATCCACTTATTCCAGAATGTCGCCAGTGATGGTCAGCACAAGCATCAAACCGATTAGAATGTTAGAAAAAGCGCTCATGACCTCATAAAATGAACCAATTTGTTCCACTATTTAACCACTCGACGCCCGAAGCATATTGGGTGAGCGATGCGATTTAAACCCGGTATCATTAAATTGTACCGGTGTCTGCATCTACTGTTTGGTGCGGGAACGTCTAGCAGCGGCTACAACACAGGGAAGCGGCCCAGGTGCATTATCCGGTGAGTCATAATGAGATCAACTCGAAGCCGACGATGTAACAGAGTATGCAACCCTACTCTCCTACATCGGTCCTCGCAAGACATACCCCGTAAACTGAGGATGAGACGGATAGCTACATACTGGACCCGGTCCAGTCTCTGTACCTCACCTATTGTGATCGGGCAATAAGCGGGTGAGTCGTACTCAAGCACCGGTCTTATTATGGAAGAGAACAGACGGGTGACAATCTCTTCAGACCAAATGCAGAAGCTGCGTCGAAGTGCCCAAAGCAGGCGTAGTCCGTTTGTGTGCAGCCTGTTCGTGTTGTCGACAGACTTCAGACCATGAG